TCTTTGGAAAGACCCATGCTGCTCTGTGCCGGGGAAGGGTCACTCTTTTCCCCCTGCCTGGAAGTTTCCCATCCAACTCCCACAGCAATAATGTTGCCCTGCCCAATCTCAACTTGCCCTGAGTGTTGGCTAATAACAGTTTTCAACTAACCCAGGGATCTGATATCCTCCTCCCCACAGGCAACGACTGATACCCAAGTAGCTCAAAACGCATGTAAGAGACATCAACCAGCAGAAATGTATGGGATCTTCTGGATCCTGAATTAAATAAACTTTAATCTTTTAAAGCTATGACTTTTAAAGATAATTTAAAACTGGATATTTGATGATATTTAGGAACTGTTGTTAATTTTAGATAAAATGATAATGTCACATTTATAAATATATTTATGGATAACACACTGCTTGAAATTTGCTTTAAAGTAACACAGGACAAGCGTAAGTGGATAGGAGTACAGAGGAAACAAGATTGGTCCTGACCTGAAAATTGCTGAAGCTGAGTGATGGGTATGCATAGGTTCACTACACTGTTCTCTCTACTTGTATCATTTATTTTCCATAATTTAAAAAGGGAAAGAATATCAAAAAAGGGAAGAGAACCAAACACAATAGGAATAACAATCTGAGAGTACCAAATCAGCCCACAATATTAAATATTTACTTACATTTCCTTAAATATAATTTGGAATAAAATACTGAAACAAATAGAAGTCAGGATAAAAAAAATGTAGTAAAGATTCATTATATTGGTACTGAAGTAAAATGAACTGAAATACAATACAGCAAATTAATTAAACCCAAATAGTGAGGTTTCAGTCTAGAAAAAGCAACTCATACATTAACATCTTTTGTATTGAACGAAAAGCAAGTAACATGTGTGCCACAGGGCCCCACTGCACCTAATCTAACACAACAGAGGTTAAAGCAGCAGGGCATGGAGAAGGGGTCTGAATAGTGACTGAGGCTTCAAGCACCTAATAAAATATGCAGATGACTCAAACTGGTATCAGTGGGCTGCCTTTCTGGTGGTCACCACTTTGTATTAGCTGTGCACCTCCTCTCCAGGATTCTCAGGGATGACAGGCCTGTCTCATTAATATTCATTCCTGTGAAAGTTACATCTTTCTTAGGTGACAGGCCTATCCAATAACTAAACTAACTCATAACTCAGACTCTTTTTCTAAAGCACAAACTAATTAGCAGCCATTTTTTAGACTATCATGAAAAATACAGGAAAACTGAAAATTATAAACTGACAAGTATTGGGGAGTATAGTTATTAGTAAAATCCACAACATCCAGCCTTCCTTCCATGAGACAAAGCTTAAAGATCAAAGTAAAAAGATGGTAAGAACTGAAAACTAAAATAGTGTAGTCAAACTCCTGTTCAGATAACAGCTTATAACGATTATTTATCTAAGTTGCTAAAGAAAGGAAACCAGATCACAAACTATAAGAATGATCTCTTCAACTCTGCAGTTGGGGACAGGAGTATAGAGGTTTGGGATGTGGGTGTGCGTGAAGGTGGAGAGGAGGGAACCACTTTCCTAATCACTACTGGCCTTCTCAATGTTTGCAGCCATGAGGCTATGTTTTAGACTGGGTGGAGCAGAGTAAATAAACAGAGTCTATTCTTAGCATCCTTTCCTTGCTACTCTGAAATTTCCTAGTCACAAATTATGGTCTACCTGTTAAAATAGATTTTTACTCAAAGAATTCATAGAAATCATCTCTGAATCAAGAAGAGATATACATAAGTTCTTGCATGAAGCTAATTTATTTTAGAAAATAATTATGTGTAAAAAACACATACTCATAAAGTAAAGTAATTAAAATACTTGCCATTGGAAATGCAGTTAGAAGAATAAATCTCAAACTTTATCAGCTAGTCATAACTGAAGTTAATACAATGAATTTTAACTTTACAAAATTAAATATAATTAAAATTTTGAAAATTAATGTATTGGCATAAATTAAGAATACATCTAAATTGAAAATAAAGTTACATGTTACTGACTACAAAATTATCTCTCTTAAAATTTAAATTCCCAGTAGCTTAATGATATTTCTCAACTTTATTTGAAAATATACAAGTAAAAGGTACATACTCATATATATATATTTCACATATTCCCCATACATTTTAGAACAAAAATGAAAGGATGGTTTGCACACATCAGGGCCTACCTATCCATCAGCACTGCTGACACAATACTAAGTGAAAGCCCACAATATTTTTAAGAGTCAACGAAAATTTTTTAACTCCTTTTCAAATTAGAAGAACAAAACTGGGACTTTGAAGTAAATACAGTGTTTTAATATGTAACATTAATAGATGTGACTCTATGCCAAATCATACAATTTTTTAATGCATGAAAAGATTCACTAAAAGAAAAAGGCACTGTTTTATGAAAGTCATTATACAGCCCTGCTACATATAGAGTCCTTATCTCAGAAGCTTTTCTAGGTGGATTGGATTAGTCTCACCAGAGTAACAGCTCGGGGTAATCTGGCTGAACCTGGTGAGTTATGGGCATCCATCCGTGCCTCCCTCCATTTTCAGGGCCCTACCCTTCTCACCTTCCTCCAGTCTCTCTAAAGACAGGGGTATAAAACCAAGAGGCTCCCTGCATGTTGTTGATACTCAAAAGAGACTTAAACATTGAGCTGGAGCTGCCACAACTACAGAAATTTACTTAAATCAACTGTTTGGATTTAAATTCCTCTGAAATTCAAATGAAAACTTTTCAGAAATATACACATGCACCAAAAAAGGTTTGCACAAAAGTAATTTTTTTAGCACACAATTGCATAGATGAAAATCCGTCTCCTTCACATAGAATTCTTTAAAATCTGTAATAAACTGGCTGCTTCTCAGATACAATAAATCAAAATTGTGCAAATAAAAGAGAAAGTATACTGTAAACAAAAAAAGGAATTTCCATAGAAGCCTATTACTTTGGTTTAATTTAGAAGTTGAATTTGGGGCCTGGTCTTTGACTTCTAGTTTTTGTGTCAATGACAAAAGAGAGATTGGTGGTACTAAGTGGAGAGTCACAGATCTCTTGGGTAGGATAGGACAACATGTGTGAAAGAGTGTGAAAATCCCTCAAACTTCTGGTTACAGTCTCTTGCATCACTACCTACACCCACACACACCAGGGCCTTCTGTGGCTAGGATCACACCATACTCTCTGTGTGTCATGAAGGAGGAGATTCAGTCTGAACTTCAACGGAAGCTGTCAGAACCAAAATAACCTTCTAAAGTGTTCAATAGTCTTTCTTGGAATCTACAGGCTTCTGGTTGCAAAAACGCTGCCGGTGTAGTACCCTGCCTAACTTGTCAGGAGGTGCTCTGCTTCCAGGATAGGACTTGGGCATTCCATCATCTATGGTAATGGTAATAATGGTAAGACTCAAAATAAATAAAAGACTTCATCAGAAAGACATAAAGCTAACAAATAAGCTTATCCAGTAGGCTTGAGAAAATTGAGCAGGAACATTAGACAGGTGCAAGTGTTCAGGATACAAGGGACTCTTTCATGCAAAGCCAGCTTGGTTGCCTCATATCTAGGTGTTACCTCTTTCACAGAATAAGTGTTTTTCTGCCATCACAGTTCTACAGCTTAAAGGTGTCTGTGGACACAGTACTCTCCCAAAACAGAGTACAATAGATACTTCTTTGATACTCTCTGCATGCACATAAAAGGTGAAAACCGCCAACTGGTTATAACAAAGAACACCCATTTGGGTCATGCAGGTGCAGCCTGAAGAGACCTGTCCTGGCAAAACACTGCTTAAGAGTACTAGAAGAAATATCAGCAATCTTGAGTGTATCGTGTCATGTTAGAAATGCTGCTTTAACTCTTTCCTTTTACATTGAGCCAACAAACTCAATTTGATTGTTTCCAAGAAATAAAACGATACAGGGTCTCTCTGACAAGGTGTAGCTTCTCCCACTGTTTCACAAAACAATCTTGCTGAATGGTCAAACTCGACCTCTTCTGTAAAACCAGCACAGGGAGGCAGGTGTGATGGTGCACACCTATAATCCTAGCTCTGAGAGTGTGAGGAGGCAGGAAGATAGCAAGTTCAAGCCTAGACGGGGCAATTTAACAAGACGCTGTATCAAAAAACCAAACAGCTGAGGATGTAACCCAGTGCAAAGGCCTTGGGTTCAATCCCCATTACCACCAAGAAAAACAAAAACAAAAACACCACAGAGGCTTTGTATATCACCATATTCAACAATAAAAAGTAAAAATTAAAGGGTAGAACGTCCGGTATACTTTGCTTTCTTTTCCAATATAAGAAGTGACAGATATCTATAGGGCAGGCCTGCCTCAATGCTTATTAAGGAAAACTAAACTAGATCGTAACATGAAGGTACATTCCCATTGCTGACTTCCAGACCACACATAACATTACCATGTTCCACCTAACGCCTGTAGCAAAAAGGGTTAGTAACATCTTTGTTAGTAACATCTTTGGCATAAAAGATAATTTTTTTCTAAGAAATAAATTTCAAAGTAACAAGAAAAAAAATCAATGGGGGAAAAAAGGGGCTATAATTCACAGGTCCCTAGATAAGAACTGCTGTCTCAGTTTACAGGTGTAACTTAAAATAGAAACTTAAAAGAAAATAAATTCTTGGGACTACTCCTTTTCAAATGCTCAAGTGTCCCTCTCTGGCATGAAAACACTAACTTATAACACCTTCCACATAAACAGATGTTACTGAGCTAGATCCCAATTAAATTTTGCTTTGTAATCTAAAGTGGAAAAAATACATGAAAAATGATTACAAGAGGCTCTCAAAGATTAATGGAGATTGAGGCTAGAGGCGATCAGCACCTAGACATTTGTACGATTTCTTTCAGCCATTTTAGACTGAAAGTTACACTAACTTAATTCATCTCGTGTTCTCACTATAGAAACCATTGACTTGTTTGATTTAAATAATAGTACATTAGTCAGCTCTTCATCACTAAAACAAAATACCTGATATAACTAAAGTTTTTCTGCTCTTATTTCTGGAGGTTCCAATTCAAGATCAGGAGAATCCAATGCTTTGAGATTCCGGTGGCCATACTTCAATGGCAACAGCAGGTACGCATCCTGGCAGAGCAAACTGCTCATTTCAAGGCAAGTAAAAAAGGGAGAAGAGGCTGAGTCCACAATGCCCTTCAGAGGAACACCCTCCATGACCTAAATATCTCCCACGGGGCCCCACCTCTTAAAGGTTATCTCACCTCCCAACAGCAGTACTGAAGTAATGCTGATTTTAATATCTTGGGGAGACATTCATCATCTAAACTCTAGCAAGAAGCACATATCAGAACTAATCATACTACTTTAAAAAGATAAATACGTAAATTTTTCTTACAAAATAAGAGCTTGTCACTCCTTTTAAAGAATACTCTTTCATACAGATCAATGCAAAGGTCACAAACAAAGGAGAAAGCCAGTTGCAAAACTAACTCCAAAAAAGGACTGGCTAGGAGGTAGGATCAGGATAAAAGGCCAGATTTGAACATGTTTCAGGGAAGTGTTCAGGTGACATGTTAGAAGGGACACTGAGTAAACACCTGAACCTCAGGCAGTGCAAGTAAATCTGAGTAGGAGACATCAACTTCCAAATCATCAAGAATCCGTGGATAATATAGCCATGACTAAGGAAAGGCTATCAAGGACCAGACGCAGAATGGAGAAGGTGGCCTATAACTGTGGCAAGAGAGCTTTGATGCTATCCACTAGAAGGAGAGGGTAAAGAATAAAAGGAAGGAAAGGAGATGAAAAGGGGGCTTATAGCTCTGCTTTCAAGATACAGCTGCAAATGGAGAGAATGTGAGGAGCAAGTTGAGCAGAGAGCTGAAAGTGTGTGCTATCTTTCTTAGGTTTTAAGAACCTAAGCATGTTTATATGCTGATGGGGGACACAAACGGGTGGAGAAAGTAAAAGATGTAAAAGAGTGGAGAGGGTGGCATTCACAGTACAAGGACAAGAAGGAGGAGAGGCAGCCCAACACCGTACCAGGAGGACAACTCTACAAGTCTCAGGTAAGGGCTCAAGCACTTTTCAAAAGCAAGAGCTAAGATGACCTACTAAGGATAGCAAGGAAAGTGACAGGCTGGACTTCTGTCTACTCCCTTGCCAGAAGTCACCCCATTTGTGGAGGCAGATACTGCCCAAGTCAGGGATGTTAGGAGTTAACTGTATGCAGAGTGAAATCCTTCTCTCTGCTGATACTAGGGCAGCCTGTTATCTCAGCCTGATCCTGTGGTCCAGTGAACTGCCCCAGCATGAACCTCTCACATTCTGAAGAGTCTTTAGTCACCCAGGAACAGGATCTTTCGCACAACTCTTACAGCTGCAGGTAGCTTCCAGAGTGGCTTGCAACATACTATCACAGTCTTGGAACAAGCAGGTAGGCACCTAAATAAATTTGGTGGAAATATGGAACGTTTTAAACTTCAAGAACACATAAATGTTCTGCCTTATCAGAACAAGCAGTGGAGCAGTTAATTTTTCTAAATAACGGTGGAATAGGGACACACAACCAAGGCGTTAAACTTCAGTTCCTTTTACAGCAGAAAAACAACTTTTTGGTTTTTCAAACAAAGAGTTCACTACCTCAAATGGGTGTTGCCTTAAGATTACCTTTTTATGACACTTGGTTTCTATTTTTGTATGTTTCAAGCAGATGAAGTATAAAATGCCACCTTGATATAAAAGTCATGGTTGGCACGGCCAACCCTATTGAAAATTTGCATAACCAATTTGTATAATTCTGTATGCACATGCCTCAAAATTTTCATCTCTAAAGTGGGGGTCACCAATACTGTGGTGACCACAGGATCACTGTGACAGCATGCTAAACTGATGTTAAAAGTAGCTGGTAGAGATAAAAGAACTATGTACACTTAGCACACAAATGAACTTTCATAGATTTTTGTGATTATAAAGTAGTGTAGCTGCCACTTTACATTCTCAACATTTTGCTTCAGGATAATCATCTTTATGGAATGAACAAATCAACATAAGGCTTTATTTTGATTTATGGAGACTATAGTAAAATATTAGGCTGTTTTCTTAGAAATCAAAATATATCATACGTAAAGTGTAGATCATCTAAATTTGTCTTCTAAATTTGATATTCTGTCTGAGAAACAATATAATTTGTAATTTCATCTATTAAAATTTTTACTGACTTTTCAAGTCCACTAAAAATATAAACCATACACAATTATTTTAATTTCTTTAACAGAATTCCTGAATTTTTCTCTAAATTTCTGTGTCAGAAATTGATTATTTTCATTAGTGTCATGGTCACTGCTACCTCAGTAACAGAATCTTTCAAGACTCTGAGATGAAGAGTTTAGTGATATAGTAACTAAAGCAATTATGCCAACCAACTAGTGTACAGTGCTGAAAATTAATAAAAGTTATGGACTAGGAGAGAACACATGGAGCCCGTAGTGATTTGCTTTTACCGGAAATGATAAGTAAACCTAAGCCATAGTGAACAGAAATAAAAAATAACAAACCAAAACATGATATTCAATTAAGAGGAATGTAGGAATACTGAATTATAGATTAAGAGGTGGGGAAAAATTAGATGTGACTACCAAAAAAGTTTTGGTGGGAGACTGAGTAGTTAATGATTTTATTAGCAAACTGACAAATATAGCACAGATCTTTCTGATGCAAAGAATCTAATCAACAATAGCATCGCAGAAATGCCATCATTCAGACAACATGCCCCTCCCAAAGTCTATACAAGTTTTACTTAACACATCAGTCATGCAAAAAGCACTTGCTCAGATACCCAAAAGACACATTAAAAATCTTGCAGATAAGAATTTCACACAATTTTTACAACAAAGAGAACGTATTTAACGCTTTAGCCAAGCAGAGGTACACCCCTTAACACAGAGCTCCCCAGGCACCAGAACTGATGTCTAGGTCTGTGGTTTGAACCTCTGCACAGAAATGCAGAAAGTTCCGTCTCCTTGCATATATAACGGTCTTTTGCTGTTTTTAGGTAAGACCTCAGAGGTCTGTTCTTCAGAGAGAGCAAAAAGCCTAAAGCTAGACTACTAGTCCCTGCCACATATAAAACGAGCCCTCAGGAGTGCTCAAGGACCCCAACACGTGTAAAAAGACTTCAGAGCTGTTCTTAACACTTGGGACCCAGGGCTGGGGATTTAGTTCAGCGGCATATAGCGCCTGCCTTGCAAGCAGGCAGTCATGAGTTTGATCCTTGGTACCGATAAAAAGGAAGAAGACAAAAAAAAAAACACTTGGGACCCTCTGACCGCTCCTCAGCTGCTTTAGGGGGGAAAAGGGTTGATTTAATGGACTGGGGTAGTATCTGCACATTAGTATATTTTAAAATACAAGTAATTCAAGTATGTCCTGAAATGACTCAGCTGAATTATCACATTTTCCTTCCCTGCTTCCCTACCTGAAAGAATATTTAGATGGGACAAAATATGCAGAGAGAACTTACTAACACTCTGCTGACCACATGAGATCCAAGAAATACTGCCGTTCGGTGGTGATCCAACAACTCTTACTTTTGTCCATAGGCCTAGAGAACTTGGCAAAATTTCTGTATAAGCAACATATTTTTTAATATTAAGACTATGAGCACACTTGAAAGGATTAGAATGCTCAGAACTATCCTAACTACATCATTAAAAAAAATTAAAAATAAACCTCCAAGCAATTGCAATGACAGTGTCCAATAACTACAATGATCAAGTGCCAAACTTCCAACCAGACCCAGCTCCTTCTATGTCCTCAGTAAACCCCAGGAAAGGTCCTATCTTCATGTGCTGTCAGCAAGCCCCTCTCCCTCCCTCCACATCTGCGACGTCTCAAAGTCTCTCACCACACACCAGCACCGTCCACTGCGGACCTGCAGGCAGCAGCAAGCCGTAAAAGCTGTTTGCCCTGAGTAGTTGGGGGAGAAATAACTGATAAATACTTGAATTTGATTAATGTCCGTAATTTAACTGTTTAGGTCATCTTATATGCCAAAGCATGCTGTCCCTCCAGAAAAACCAAAAGTGTGTAGTTTGATAGACTTTCACAAAGCAAATTCATGCTTGGAATTCAGATCCAGAAACCAAGCACTACTGGCTTCTCTGTTCCCCCTTTCAGTCATCAGCCCCAATATTACCACTGCTTGGACTTCTATCACCCAAATCAGTTTACCTGCATTTAAACTTTACATAAATGAATTTAAAATATATATTCTTTTGTGTAGAGTTTCTTTCCCTCAACATTATACTTAACAGACTTCAGTGGTACACATAATAGTCACCTACCCATTTAGCTTTCTTTACTTCTATTTCCTTCCTCCTTTCTTTGTTTCCTTCCTAGATCCCTCCTCCTTTCCTTTCTCTCTCTCTCTCTCTCTCTCTCTCTTTTTTTTTTTTTTTGTTTTCTTCTTCTCACAGAATTTTTCTTACAATGTGTTATTCTATAAGTTGGGTTGTTGTTTCCAACTTGGGACTTTTACAGTAAGTAATCCTTAAGGAGTCTGTGCCTGTCTTTCAATGTACATCTAGAATAATTTCTGTTGGTATACACCTAGTAGAAGGAAGGACTGTGGTACAAACACAGGACAGGCAAACAGATGTAACAAAACAGACAACCAACACAAACACACACATATGCAGTCACTTAACTCATAACAAAGGGCTGATGTAGTACAGTAGGAAAATGAACATATTTTCAATTAAATGGTGCTGAATTAATTGATCAAATATCTATATAGAAATAAAATCTTGGGGGCTGGGGATTTAGCTCAGTGGCATAAGCGTCTGCCTTGCAAGCAGGCAGTCGTGAGTTCGATCCCCGGTACTGGTAAAAAAAAAAAAAAGAAATAAAATCTTGACTCCTATCTTAGGCTATACAGGTGCAGGTATATTGTAAAATGCAGGTAGATTGTAGCTCTGAATGTGATCAGTAAAACTAATAAAAGAGTATTTCATCATCTTAAGTAGAAATTTCTTAAACAGGACACAAAAATAATAACCATAAAGGGAAATACTGATATAATGGTCTTCACTAAAACTAGAAACAGTTATTCATTAAAAAGTACTCTTTAAGAGGGTGAAGTGGTACCACGACACATCTTCAAAGTCATAACACCCAAAAGACATTATCTAGAAAATGTAAAGAAGTCATCCAAATCAATTTTTAACAAACTTTTCTAAGTGAGAAAAAGACTTGAACAGGAATTTCTACAAGACAGCATCCACATGGCTACAAAACATATGCAAAGGTGCTCAATATCATCAGTTATCAGGAAAATCCATCTCCGAAGCCTCAGTTAGGTGACATCAAGAGCCATCGAAATTGGTTACAACAAAAAACACCTCTGAAAACACCAAATATGTGCATTTATAGCAACTGAAATTCACATTACTTGATGGTTACTTAAGTTGATCTAACTAGTTAGAAAAACTTCATGACAGGATCTATTAAAGAGGAGCATACATTATGCGGCATTGATGGTATAGTGGTGAGCATAGCTGCCTCTTGAATAATACGCAATGTGTGGCCTGCATACAGCCCTCAACTCCAGAGAACAGTGAAACCAAGAATTAGTTAGAACACATTTTACTTGACTAACCCTGCCATATAACCAAATGCTAGTGGCCAGGGAGTCCAGCTACCATTTTAGAATACACAGGTGACAAATACCCTGCTAGAAGACTGAACTATTCTCATCACTGTGTGAAGCTCAATGTAATCATTTATATGCTTTAGGCACCTAAAAGCTATGGAATTCTTCTAACAAGGAAAATAAATCTAACTAAAAGTTTCATGCCTCCACTGTGACTGACACTCCTATGCCAAGCACAGCCCTCCTGAGTCACCATTATTACCAGTAAAGAAAAGTTTGTCAGTTGCAAACAGTTCCAAATTCTATGGCCCACTGGTTTAAAAAAAAAAAAAATCTGAATCCCACTATGACACACAAAATTTAGTACTAATAAGAAATACAGAACCTATTTTGGGGTATGCATGTATGACATTGGAAGAGAAACTATGATATTTCACTTGTATTTGTTTCAAAGAACAGGGTCCTATTTTGTTAAATATAAAGGAATGAATAATTTAAGTATAAAAAGTCTAGTTTAGACTCCTAACAGAGCAACAGAACTCTAAAAGGAAGTGAACTGACTCTAGGAGACAGCACTCTAAGAAAATAACTTAAGCAGCTGATAGCAGTAATTAGTAGAACAATTTCCTATGTGCTGTATGGATTTGGTGAAAAACAATACAAGTCAAATACTACTATTGGGGGAAGGAGAGGATGGAAAAGAGGAAGAGAAAAACAAAAAGCATCAAATAATTTTAGTACATAAGAATTAATACACTGTGATTACTTTTAAAACCTGAACCCTAAATTGTGACAGAGCTGTTTGAGTGGACTAAAATAAGCAACTATGCCTTGATCTTTCAACGCTTATCATGTGCGTTCTAAAATGCATTAGTATGAAGTAAAATGTGAAGCTACCGATTGACCATTAGACTCTCCCAACCTAAATAACCATTAGGATGCACCTGTCTATCTAAACATACTTATTTTAATCCAGTTACTATATGTGTAATATATATCACATAACCATGAGTTTACTGAACACACAGTTGTCTTTATTTATTCCCATCAAAAGAAAGACTAAAGGAGAATACGAACATTTCTTAAAAATTCATTTTAATATATTTTAAAGTAACCATACAAAAAATAGTTATTGGGTGCTACTTCAGTTCACAAATTTAATTCATTGCAAGATTCTGGAAAAGATGGCCATGTTTATGTTTGACACCCAATGCAAAGAAAAACAAAATTTGCCCAACACTTCTGTTTGTAAACCAAATTTTTTCAAACAAAGCATTCGTGAACCAAAGTGCCACTGTACTTGATACCTGTGTAGAACTGGTAAGTGCATACCAGTTTTTGCCCACAAAGAGTCTACTTTATTTAAACCATGCAGCAATATAATATGCAAGTGCATGTTCTCATTACTTTGTTTGATTATATAGTAGATATGAAAATCCTATCTGCTGTTTATGTTGGGGAGCTCAGCATCAACATGTATGTTGGCATAAAGATAGTGTTTCTCCTACACAACACGATGCCACCATAATAATGAGAATGATATTCAAAAAGATCAGGAGTTTCACCTTGGACAAGGTCAGACTATTAGTCACTGTGAAGCTGGAAGGCCTGGGCAAGCAGTCATAACAGGTGATGAGACAGCTGCAGAGCTGTATTATCTGTCAGTTTCTTCTGCCAGCAGAAGTAAAGGTTCTCTTTCCCCCTCCAACATTCTTCACATTCAAAGGAGAAGATCAAATCAGGGCTTCCAAGTCATCAATTCTCCTTTACTTACACAGAACATTTAAGAGGTCAGTGTAACTTGGGGGAGGGGGAAGTTTAGCCATAGTCAAGTGAGGTACAGCAACCAGCCCCAGTACCTCGGATGCATGGCTGAACTCTCTGAGCTCTGGTTTCCCACAGCTTCTGTGGCTGTACAAGACCAAGTCAGAGAATTATGGTAAGTACTCTTCACACATTTTGCACATAGGGAGTACTTAGTAAGTATCAGACATTCTTACTACAATAATAGCTTTATTTCCGACCTCTAAAAATAGCCCAAGACAAGTAAATGCAGGTATCTGGTACTCCGAGTAACTAATTTAAAGATAACAATACACGATGTATTAACCATTGTTACCATCTAATTAGCTTGTTTTGAAATTTAGAAATACCAAAAAAAGGTCCAAGATCAATAGATAACATCATTTGGGAAAGTGGGGAAGGGAAGACTAAACAGAGATTGGAAAGTAGAGGTTTGGAGGTGGTAATACTGCTTAGTATCTTGACTGAGGTAGTGACCATGTGACTCTATGTTTGTCAAAGCTCACTAAACTGGACACTAAGGGTGAATCTTACTGTATGAAATCCAACCATTTTTGAAAGTATCAACATTTAATTACTTCTGATTAAAATACACCATACAAACTACTATAGACATTTTAAATGTCATTTATTTCTGAAACTAAGAAGAAATCTAAGGCCTAAAATGCTACTTCATATTTTTAGACCAAGTTTAAAAGATGCTATTTGGAAAAAGGTGCATAGGAAGCCATCTGAACAATTAACCAAATTAACTGTTTTAAAATAAAGCATAGATTATACTGAATAGTATGATGAAATAATGGAAAGAGAAAATGAAAGTGCTATTTTCACTTACTAGATTACTTAAGATAAAAATCATAATAGCTTCTTCCCCAAAATCAAGTAATGGGCTTTTGTGAATAATGTCAGAAGTACATTGTTATGTTCAATAAGCTAAGGAAATGTAGAAAAGTCTGGTTATTATTTCCATAACTTATTTACCTCAAGGTATCTGTAAAAGTTTCTACGAGGCTGCTCACTCCAAATTTTCATCAACACTGTGTAACCAAGGAGCTCTTTTAACATAGACCTATGCATCTGTTTTGGTAGAAAAATGTAGTTTTACAACAATTTCTTATCAATACCATATTTGCAAAACAGATGGGAGTACCAAAGAAATGATTTTAAACAAGAAACATAATTCTGGTCAGCCTACAGTGGATTTCTGCATCTGTCCTGCATACTAACAACAGTCCCCTTTCTCTACCTCCCACTTATCACATTTAGGCCCTTATTCCTTCCTCTAACATAGGAATCGCTACCCAACAGGGATGTCAAGATTGTAATGAAGACTGAAACCAGAGGGAAAAAAATGTATGAGCCTAATTTTCCTCAACTAATACATCCATAAATACTGCCCTCTCTTTTCTAGCATTCACTACACGCTAGTCCCTCAAATCCTCAACTACCACCTATTCCTACCTCTATGCATAGAGGAACCATCTGACTATATTCACTCCTTAAAACCCTTTAGAAAAAAAAAAACAAGGAAAGATGTAGTTATTGCTTTTCTACTTGAGATTCTGCTTCAGCTTTTTGTTATTTCTTAACAAAAGTGAAATATAATTTCTGCCATTCATGTGACAAAAATATCTGTGCAGTATTCACTGCTTATAAAACGACATTAAAGAAAAGACTTCTTTTTAAGATATTATCTTGCAGCTGTATATTATGTCTTTAGAAAACATCAAGCTAAATTCCTAAAATCTTGCCTTTTAAGGCACTAATTCAAGGAGAAACATACCAAGTAGTTACCACCTAAAATATAGCATCCTCTCTTTGTTATAACTCAGACCTGATCAAATTTCAACACAACTTCCATAATCTTCAAGAGTGGTTAAGAAATGTAAGCTGAAAATAAAGGCAAGAAAGGGAGTCTGTCAACTTATCTTAGGAGGTACAAAAAAACTAAATAAGGGGCCAGGGATTTGGCTCAGTGGCATAAGCACCTGTCTGGCAAGCGCTAGGTCATGAGTTCGATCCCAGGTGCCAAACAAACAAAAAACTAAATAAATATGAAAGTAGTAAACTCAAAAAGAACTTAAAGAGAACATGTGCTTCTTTATCATTTTTCCATTTATGCAATAAAATATTATATACCTACTAAGTTTGTGTCACTGTTTATGGATAGGCACAGTAGTAAACAAGAAACCAATTGCCTTTACTATAAAGAAAAAATTTTTAAATCTCTGAAAGTTTAAAATTTTAGTGTATCGACAGCATTTCCAAAACCCGTGCTTTTTGAACAATTCATTTCCCCAAGTGCTTCAACAGCCTTCAACAAAGAAATAATATCTACCAATAAGTTCTCAACTCCACCCATGAATATTGACAAATCATCCTTCTTTCTTATCTCTCAGTGTAAAACAAAAGCTGCTGTCATTCATTAAACTACATTGTGAATCCAAAGATGGACACTAATAAACGCAACCTTTTTTAAAACGCTTAAAAGCCCTTGTAACAATGGAAAGAGTTGTTAAAATTAGGTAGGTTGTTACGTGTCTCAAATTTTCACCTCAGAATTCATTAACATCCCAATGAAAAATCACCACAAATATTTGGTGACCAAAGAAACCCAGAAATGTCACCTAACTCTGTCAACACGATTCTCTCCCACAGTTGAAAGTAACTTTCAGTAACACTAACTACAAAATAAAAGGACATATATGTCAGTAAAGGCTACACATGCAGCAAAAAGACACTTTATTTTCCTCAGTCTAAAAGCGAACTGTTGGTAGCTATACACTTGATCTTTAAACCCTTCACTGTGCCCCTGCCCAGACCTAAACTGTACAAACAGATGACAAAGCGAAATTCAGTTTCACAACTGCCTCTTAGATAGAGCAGCAAGGTGGTACATTTCATTATATTACTATAGAAGTTGATATACACGTGACATTTTCACAGCATGGTAAGATTTCAGTCCCATTTAATTTCAAATGCCAACAGTGCCAACTCTCTTCACTACGGCTCGCTCTGACCTCTCAAGGGTTATCTGCCACAGGAAGGGTGGATGCAGCCCTGTCATCGTGCTTTGCTGCTCACTGTCCTGATAACCCCTTGATTTTCAGAAAGCATATTTTCGAATTTGCTCTGAACTCAACAAGCCAAATAGGATAGTCTTGCCTAAGGCGCTGCCCTTCTTAGATCATCAAGTATTATTTTTCCACTTTGTGTCATGAGAAACACTTTTACACTGCAGACTTAACTGTAGGATTAGAATGAAACCACCACAAACTCTTAATGGTACTTCTTGAGTTTAAAACACAAAACACAATTGTTGGCTTTCTTCTGCTAAGTAACACCATGCAAAACATACCAAAATCAAACAAACTGTCCGAAAGAACTTCCACATATCTGGAGGCCTGCCTCCTGCAGAAAGGAAAAGATTAAATCGTGCGGAACTGTAATCTCTCAGAGCTTTTGAGCCTAAGAAAGCGGAAATCTGCATGTTCAGAAACCTACTCCATTTCTCCCTGTAATTGAGTGGAGATTTTGTACCCTCTAAGTACAATCATTTGCAAAAACAAGAAAGATCAGATTGAAAGATATCTATTAAAGAATCTCAGCTAGTTGCCTGGGGTTTTTAAGAAAACAGGATTCCTATCTTTTTCACAGGATTCCTATCTTTAAAATACAATAGAAATCGGTTGCCAGTCTAGGTTACCACTGAAAACCATGCCCTGCCCAGGTAGGTACAAGCCCTAATTCCAAACCAATCCTGGAAGAGGTGACAGCCCCAAGTTGCACTGGAAATGCCTGAGCCCAGCTCTCCTGCACACTCGGGTTCACCTCTCCATTCTTCCCAAATGTCATCTGCACCCAGTCCCCGCTCAACCACTCCGAACAACCGTGCACCAATGACCCCCATTAGCAATAGCGTCCCTTCCTTCCACTACCGCTTCTCAGGAGAGAAGCAGACCCCAGGAAAGAATGGGGGTGGGCCATGAGCCCCCCTCTCCCACCTACCTTGATGATGCTGCTCCGGCGGGGCAGGCCGCCAGGCTTGCTCTCCCGGGGAAAGGGACAGGCGGCCGGGTTGGGGGTCGGGGCGAGCGCAACGCCGCGAGGTCCCCGGGCAGGGCTGGCCGGAGCTTCGTCCCCGGACACGCCGAGGCTGCAGTCTCCGTTGGAAACCCCGCCGCTGTCATAGCGCGCCCGCCCGTGGACCAGGCGACCTCCCCCGCCGCCACCGCCTTCCCCAGCTCCGGCTTTCAGGGCGCCCTTGGCGCCGAGGGCCGGGCTCGGGGAGGTGGGCAGGGCCCCGCCGGCGGAGCCCCCCCGGCCGCACTCCGCCATGGGCGCCCCGCGACCCGCCTGCACAAAGCCGCGTCCTCGCGTCCTCGCGTCCCCGCCGCCGCCTCGGACCGCCGCGCGCGGCCCCTCCTCCTCGCCTCCTCCCGCCGCCGCCGCCGCCGCCGCCGCCTCGGCCGCTTCTTCCGCTTTTCTTTTTTTTTTTTTTTTCTTGCTTTTTTTTTTTTTTTTTTTTTTTAATTTATCTGTGATGTTTGTTTCGAGCTCGCCTGGCGCACGATTGAAGTCGTGATGGCAGAATTATCGGAAGGTCCCTGCAGGGAGGATAGGAGAGAACACAGTCAGCTTGGCGGTGGCGGAGCCCCGGCTGCCGGCACCTGGGGAAGTAAAACACGCCCCGGTACACGCGCCGCTGCGGGCGCCAAAAATAACCGCGCGGGCCGGGCGCCCACCCTGGGCACCGCGCGCCCACCTCGGCGGCCCGGGCTGCGGCGCTCTCCGGGGGTCGAGCACCCGCCGCGCGGGGAGGGCGCGCGGGGACCCGCGCCCGCCTCCGGAGCAGGGCTGAGGGGAGCGGCGCCCCAGGGCTCGCGGGCCACGCGGAAGCGCCTCGCCTGGGGCTAGCGCGCTGCGGACTCCCTCGCGGCCGCCGCGCCCGGCTCCGGCCGTCATGTTCCCTCAGGCCCCGCCGAGGCCCGCAGGGGGGGAAGCGCACCGCGGGAATGGGCGGCCGGGCCGCGACAGTGGCCGCGGGACCCGGGAGTGGCTGCAGGCGGGGGCAACCCAGGCCCACCACCACCCCTCCAGCGGCTGTCTCCGCTGCAGCCTGGCTCTGCCCCCTACAGGCCGCCGGGACCCTTCTCGGCCGCCCCCGGACCCACCGCGAGCTGCTCGGCTCGCGCTCGAAGTCGCCGGCGTCGCGGCGGTAGAGGCTGCGGCCAGGTCATCTGGCCTCAGGGACCTCACAGCCTTGCGGACCGTAACCTCGGCGTCCGCAGCTCGTGGGATATACACACGCACAGCTGCTTATTATCCGCTAAGAGACCCAGGGGCGCCGATCGCCTGCCGTGAGGAGGGGAGCGGACGTCCCAGGGCCCAGCGCCCGGCTTCTACCCCCAGCCCTACACGCGGAACTCGTTCCTTTCCCACCCAGGCCGCTCCGGCCTGCAGGAAGCTCCCTCTGGACTTCCCCAGCGGGCCAGGCACATTTTACACACGGAAACCAATCCGTTCTCTTCCCTTGGGCTCCTGAACAGTAAATTGACTCAGGGGGTGAGAAGTGGTGTATCTGGCGAGCTTTCAGGGGTAAAAAAGCCAGAGGCTGTTCTGTGCCCTCCAAGTCGTGCCCTGCTGATTCCCGCTGATTCCTCACTGTCGTGCTTCTCTTTCAGTATCTTTCCTGGTTTCACCCACAGGTATGCTGGCTGGTCAGGCACCCCACGGACCCCATCCTAGATCCAGTGCAGGCTCCTACTTGCAGTGCCACATCTGGTCTCACCTTTCTCTGGTCCTCCTATACCGTCTCTGGCAAAGTGATGGGCCTAAGAATCAAGGATGATGGTATTGCACCCCTATGCAAGACACCTCCTTGGACCTCCATCCCTGGAACCAGAGCCTGAACTCCACAACTTGGTTCCAGGGGCCCCAGCTCTCCAGTCCTGGCTCTAAGGGCGCCTGCCCCCTGTCCTTCTTCTGTACCCAGCTCTTCCTCCCTCCTTGTGCTTCCTTTTCTGTGAGTTCTCTCCTTGCCGGGAGGGAGGGAGAAAGATTCCCAAGGGGATGAACTAAAGACTTTGCGTTCATTAGGACTGGGTCATAACACACTGCCAACAAGCCACTAAGGAAATGGGTTTTACATACCTGCATGTACTGGTCCTTACCCTAAAACAACATGAAATACTTTTGTGTTTTTCTTGGGGTGTTTAAATTCTGATCCTCTGGATTAGTGTTTTTACAAATCATCAGACAAGCTTTTATACATCTCTTGCCAACCTGAGCATACACTAACAAATATTTTCATGTTGATTTACTACAGTATGTAATATGTTGTTCAGTCTCATCCTTTTTCTTTCTTTTTTTTGCTTTTCTAGTTTTGTTTCAAAATAGTATTTTCTTTGACCTGGATACACTCTCATAATTCAAATCCAGTTCCTTTGCTTTATCAAATTTGTAATCCAAATATCTGAGTGTGATGTGAGGAACGAAAGCAAGCATGCTGTGGCCTTTATTCTTGAAGTTTTCTAATTTTGGTACAGTATTTTGAAAGTCATCTGATGAGATCTCTGCCTTTCTGTGGTAGTATCTAATCTCTGCATTTATCAAGTCAGTAAGGAACTGCTGTGACAGATCCTACAACTTTCCTCATGAGGTCCCTAGGCTGAGTAGGAATATATTGAGATTTAAACACCCACTGTGGTTTTTATTTAACTGTTATCTAATTCACCAATGTCCTCCAAGGCAAACACCTCTCCATCTCACTGTAGACTGGCAACAAGTCAAACCAAGGAGATTTCGTTGAAATAGATGTGGCATTTAAATTAAAACATTTCCCAAAGCATCTTGGCAGACCTGTAACTAATGATGCCAGAAGCCCAAGGCCTGTGCCAGGTTCCTTTTTATCCTCCTAAGTGCTTGTCTCCCACAAGCGGCTGGTCACACGCCTACTGGTGAGATAGCTGCATGTACTTCTTTATCACAAACACCAGAATGGTAGTTACCACTTCTGGGATCTGGTGATAGGCAGCATGTTCCTCCGACATGTGCAGAAGGCACCCGGCAGCCTTTTTAATAAGTGAAACTTGGATTTTTTTTTTTTTTCATGAAAAACTGCATAGTAAGCAACTTTTTCTTCTTCTGTGTCTCTGCAGCTTTGCATTTGTCCTATTTCATGAGCAATGTTATTAAAGAAATTATAAATTACCAAAATTCTTGCCGAAGTGTTTTGGTAGCATTGTAAAATTCATAGAAGTTAGAATCAGAAAAAGAGCCAAATATAGTCATTCCTTAGCAAATACCATTTAATTGTTCCTTCAGACTAATATTCAGAGCAGGGCAATAAAAGGTATGTAAGACATCAATAAAATGTCTCTCTGAACAATCCACCGAGCCTAAGCCAATTTATTCCATTGTATACTAACTGTTGGGTTTTATGAGTAATTTTTTCATGTCGATAGATATATTTATAATCATGTCAGTAATATATAACTTTATCTCTGTTAGTCATTCTTCATGTGTCAATTCATCTTTGTTTTTCATCATTGTTGCCACCCTAAACCAGTCTTCCATTTGTTTGCATCATTAATTTGATGCCTAGAACTTTGTTATTCGGGCTCTCTGTTCCATATTAACCTTTCAGCCTTCCAAAATAACACTGACACAGTTTACTGAATTCTTGCCGTCATTTATACCCTTGTAGGTTATGAATTCATATCTATTTTCTACTTCACAAACACTCTCTACTAGTACAGCTTTCCAAATTTTTTGAACCACTGGGAGCTTGGCCTTCAGATTATTTTTTCCCTCATGTAGTATGACAATTTTCATTTCCCAAGCCTCAATCTCATCTTATTTCCTGTATTTCCCTAAAGAGACAGTTCAATCTCTGAGACTTCGTATTTGACTGCTCTCCATGTGCTTAATGTGAGAGCTGACTATAACAATTTAGGTCAAGATGACTTAAGGAAATAGCAGATTTTATATAAATGTAGTGGCCCTGTGTCAATACATGATGTCAATTTTAATTTACTATGTTCCTACAGATTAGATTGTTTATTTTTATAATGGTCCTTAAGAAGAAGTGATCATCTTTCTTTCTGGGTACTAATACGGCAACCTAGATTTGCCAAAAACTTTCTTTTCCATACTCTGAATCTCCTTTGGCACTAAAGATCCTTCACCGATTTTCTTGGATCCATCTTCCACAAGTGTATATGGCTGCCAAGAAGTGAGGCGCTCAGAGAATTACATCAGTGTGTTCCAGCTTAGTGAGGAACCACTTCATCAATTCATTAAATTTTCTCAGTAAATATTGAATTAGCACTTTGAGGAAATCTATTAATTATTAGGGGTCCAATAACATTATTCAATCAGCAAAAGTAGTAATGTGGTAGACTAATAAGATTTGTTCTAAAAATAACTTATTTATCACACTGCTTTTGTGAAGTCTCTCTCATGGATTTGTGTATATTTATAGCATTATTATATTGACAGGAAGCCTTGGTCATTACAAACTCAAATGCACTTGGGGTCCAGGTAGGTGATAAGAAGCTAAAGCAATTTGTTTCAAAATAACATTAAAATTTAAAGGTGTTATTTTCTAACAGTGATATGCTCTGTACATCAGATACAGAGGAATATAATTTCTGATTCATCTTTGGTTTTCTAATTTTAATAATATTTGTTAAAGAAACACTTCATGTTCCTCTTAACTCTAAGAAAAATGTGTGAACTTGACAGCTGACATTCAGCTGTGTAGGGAAGCAATGTGGTAGGGGACTGAATAAACTGATGAGGCATCTTGCTGCTTCCAACAAGGACCACTAGCCCAGTGCTGCCTGGGTCATTTTATTTTCCCAGAAAAACAAGAAGCCTAGAGTATAAAACTTGCTATTTTATTAGTTCATTATATTCATAGAAAGCCACAAGATGAGAAGATCAGGTATTATTCTTCATAAAGTTTTCAGAAAGGCCTATTCTTCCTGCAAACTACATGTTAAGCAAAGATTAGCAAACTGCTTCTAAATTCTGCCTTTCTTTGGATCTTGTCAATCCATTTTAAAGGACAGATTTATTTTTATGAGGTTATTGGTTTTTGTTTTGTTTTTACTTCAAGACAGGGTCTTGCCATGTACTTTAGGCTGCCTTAAACTCACTATATAGCTCAGAATGGCTTCATACTCACAACAGTCCTCCTACCTCAGCCTCCTAAATGCTGGGATTACAGGAACACACTACTTTTACAGCCTTATTTTTATGAGTTTTAGAAATCAAGTATCTGATAACCATATCATTTCACATATCCCAGTATATAAAGTATTGTTCAAACCTACTTCCTTTTATCTACGATACCACAATCCAACCCTAGAACTATTTCATCTCTAAATCTAAAACTCATAGACCCGCTCTCTAAAAAACTAATATTTCATCAGTTCTAGAAATTTTCTTCCCTGAA